GACTTGTTCTTTTAACAGATTATTAGTATTTCATAAATTACGTATGTAGTTAACATGGAGGAAAAAAACTAGAAAAATCACAAAAAATTGGGTTTTTGATCGTCCGTTATTTTATTTCCATAATAGTGAGGCCATATGTTAATGGCTAAGGACACTCTCGCCAATCCTGTGAATACAATTAAACCATTAGAATCATAATCGGTACTCTAGTTTTTCTTTAGAGTAGGCTGCGTAAAATGCCTTCTGGGCCGTGACAGACGGACATTAATTGAGATAAGACATGTTTCAACTTCTTCAATGTATAAAACGTAAAAATAACCCAAAATATGTATAATTCTGAGCAATGTACAGACAAAACCATAACTTTTTTTATATAGATTAACCGGGTTTAAGTTTTCAATATCTAAAAAAAATGTATAAAACTTCTTTTAGTTTTACAAATAGTGCTGGGCGGGGAAATAATGTTTCTCATTTGTTGTGTACCTCATTTATGGGGGGGGGCTGTTGCTCAATTTGGGGGGGGGGGTGCGTCATGAGTCTAGGGGGGATGGGCACCCCTGATTACAGCCATTTAAAACCTCGTTTAACCAAATAATACGATCTAATCATAAACAATAACTTGTCCCCTAGTTATATAACCAAACAGTAAAGCACAAATCAAGAAATTAACCCTAAAATAATGGAAACAAAGTTTCATCGACACTAGCGCCTTTGTGTCACGTACATGAACTAGACACGAAAAACGTGCTTCAAAATTTACAATGGGATGAGAAGTCTACTTGTGTTGGTTAGTCTATGGTTCTATCAACTGTCAAAGAGTAGATCTACCCTTTATCTATGTATTCCAACAGACATCTCTATTTTTACATTTAACTATAGACTAAGCAACACAATTAATTAGACTCCTCATCCCATTGTACATTTTGAAGCTTTGTTTTTCGTGTCTAGTTCATGTACCTCCACACTGATTGCTGGGGTAGACATAATTTTGTTTCTATTATTTTAGGGTTATTTTCATGATTTGTGCTTTACTATTTGGTTGTATAGCTAGGAGATTATTTATTGTTTATGATTATATCGTTTTATTTGGTTAAATGAGGTTTTAAATTACTGAAATAACAAGAAACAAATTGTAAACAAAACACAACCTCTACAGTTGGACGTACAGAAGTAACAATAAAATTGGCTTCAGCTGTTCCAGGGTGGCAAATCTACGAAGGGAGTATGTTTTATCTATGATTTAACTAACATAACAGCTAGTCAAACAAACAAGAAATAACAAGAACAGCATACATTTATGATTTAGTACATGGGAAAAATGCTCTTCAGTCTTCAGTTATAATAATATAGATTCAGTAGTTTACAAGTTGTTATATTTGGTCATAACAACTAGTTAGTAAAAACCTATAAATTATATGAGAGAAGGCAGTTGAACTTATGTTTGTATCCACATAGATCATAGCAAAATAATTGTCTTAAGCTGGTTCATAATGACAATTCTCATGATTAACCACAGTATTATTTTAGTTTTATGCATTCATATTGCTATAAGTTCCCATTAGAATAATTGCAGACTATTACCAAGAGTAAACAAAAGTATAGACTATTATCAAGATAATTTTTTGAATTATTGTCAATTTGCATAAGAATGCATCTCAGATGGTAAGATTAGTTTCTTTATCAACTAAATTATTGCTGGAGCTGGATACTGAAGACTTCTCATCCATTTGTAAAATCTGAAGCCCCTATTTACCTGTGTTTTTGGTACTTTTGAGTGTGCTGAAGCTGACAGTATGGGCTTATAATATTTTAGAGTATTTTACAATTTACACGTTACAATACTACAAGACTAACAGTAGTCGTAAGCATAATTTGGTTAAAATGTTTTGAAGTTGGTGAAATAACAAGAAATAAAAATATACCTTAAAATATGTTTAAGCTTATTAGAATGAGGGTGTCAAATCTATGAAGAAGTATGTCTAACTTATGCTTGATCTCACCTTCTCTTGGAGACAGTAGACCATCCATGTTTGATAGAAGACAGACTTGAGCTTTGGAGGAGATTCATACTCAAGACCCAAAGTCCACAAAGATTACAAACTCCATTGTTGATAAAAGGAAAACACCACTTGACTAGATTAGGCTATCCTCACTGGCAAATACAATAGGGTAAACAACTGGACTTATCACATTACTATTGTTCCATTTTTTTATATTTAGTCACCAGTCTCATGAAATTCTTAATACTTAATGTTTATCTGTATTGCACCTATATTGGTTGAAAAGTAGATATGGAAAATCTATTTTAAATATGTAAATAATGATTAAACATTGATGACTCATAGACGAATACAATATCTTGGTTTTTATGTTATAAGGAAAGACAATTTTTTTCTTGTGTTTACTGAGGTCTTGAAAGGGTTAATTTTCAATAACTATCTGTTGATTTATTTATTAGATACAGATTTTTACATTTTTTAGTTATACCGTAACTGCGTAACTCTTTAACAAGTTGACTGCGCATAACCAGTGATCTCGTCACCGCAGGCACTTTCCAGTGGCGCGACGGACGAGTATGCTCGTCAAAGCTACCGTTTACTGTTTAGCTCGGAAAGTGCCGTTTACAAACTATTGTTCCAGTGTGAGGTTAGCCACTGCCGTGAGACGTTGTATCCCTCACTGCTTATTGTGCCAGTTTTACACTTCAATGTGGTATAATTCGTTTCCAGATCCGAATATATCAGAGGTAGAGACTGTTACCTCAAAATTGTGCATGATCCCTTTTTTGTGGTATTTTTTTATGGTGTATCCGGGTACTTTGCCCCTGCTTTTTCCCTCCATTTGGCAATCCTGAAGGCTGGCTAGCAGTTTTGTTTAGTGCTGCTATTTATTAGGTTATTGTAAAACCACGTCCACAACAACTGGGACGAAGTACATGCTATAATATGCCTTTCCTATTGGATGAAACTAAATTCAAAAATTTTTGTGCACTCATCCACACAGAGCTTAGTTGTTCTCGCTCGGCAATCACACAGCTGCAGTAAACGTGTTAGACACAAAATATTTGTAATAAAACTTTTTTTTTATATGGACTTAACAAAAAAAAAAACAAAAAAAAAACGATAAGGATGAGGATGAGTAAAAAGCTGCTAAAGCCCTGATTGGGTGTGCAGCTCTAGAGAATCCAACAATGTGTTCATCTTCCCCCAGAAATCCACCTTTAGTTTATTTTAGGTGGGCATAATATCCCACAAAACTATGCCAAAGATAGCAGAGTTGCACACTAGACCTAACCGAGATATGATCCAAATTCCAAACCCTCAATATGGCAGTAAAGTTTCCTGGCCATGGAGACAACACCTTTGCTGGATTATTGATCATACTCAGGGCCGGATTTAGTATTTTGGCGCCCCTAGGCCCAAATAATTTTCCCGCCCCCTGAGTGAGCTTTCTAACAACCCATTGATTAATATAATTTTTCCAGTAGAACTGTAGATCTTAAGTTGTACAAAAATTTGAAAACTGAATTTTATAAGAGTGAGTAGATTTACGAACAGCAAGACAATGCAACACGGGGCCAACGCCAACTGTTCAACTGAACCATTGAGTATTGAGTGAGGGTGATTAGGCATACACTACTGAACTAACCCCAAAAATACTGATCGTTGTGGTCAACTCATTGTCAGCGACCACAAAATAGAAAAAATATTTTTATTCTGTGGTCGCTGGACTCACTTGATAGCAGTAAACAGATGTTTTGCGGGCAAATCGTGGTGGTAGCTACTGGGCCGAGCAACTCGGTTTTCAACTAAATCACTCGACTCGCTCTCAACTGACCTATTTTTATCAACTCGCCCGTTGCTCGACTCGCCTGCATGTCTACACCATGCGAGTTAGAGAGCGAGTGGCAACTCGTACACTGACTCGCCCACCGTACTCGACCCGTGTAAACCAGGCTCTTCCATCAGTAGCGCTGAGCCAGCGAAGTGGCAGGGCAGTGACAATACGATGCGTACCGCTCGGGCGCTTGACAACGTCCCTACAGCCTACTCCCGTAACCAATGTTGTAACAAAATTGATGCGTAATTTTGAAAAATAGTAAATTTTCGAACAATTATTTCTTCCAATGAACTTCAAAATCAGAATGCATATTATTTTCCAGTGTTTTTTTATTAACTCGCAAAATATGTTAACTTATGATATTTATTTTTATTTTTAGATATAAAAAAAAATAATTTTACTCTCAGCCGTGCGCCCTAGGAGAGCTCGCGCTCATAGGCCCGGGCCTACCGGGCCTATTGGTAAATCCGGCCCTGATCATACTTAAGCATTGGCAACACTGGTAAAACCCATCATCGGAGCAAAAACTCCAAGATTATCTCCCAGGGTGTTGCAGTAACTTACTGATTGTATTTTACACTTGATTTGGTTTCTTCAGTTGTTCATTTTTCTATTGTTGAATAATAAACTTATAGAATAGTTATGGGGCATGAAAGTTCTCTCATTTTTATTAACTTTTCAATTAGATAGTAAAATTTTTTGAACCAGGTTTCATATTCCTTTGTAAAAGACGACATTGCATGAGACAGACTAGACGGGATCAAAATTTAATTTAAAAATAAAATAATTCATTTTTGAAATCTGCAAATTATTTGATCTACTGCACCTCCAGCACTTTTTCATACTAAACGTAAAACGTACATTAATAATCTTGTTCCTTTTTCATCCAGCACTAAAGAAGCTTGTCAATGCATAAGGAGGTTATCTCAATTTTTTTTTTAAATTTAAATCATTATTTACTATTTAAATTTTGTGTATGGTTGAATTCCTACTTTCTTAAACAATACCAATTTCAACATTAGTCTCAAATTGTTTTAATTTTAAAATTTACAAATAATTGATTCACTTAAAACTTTATGAATTATATATACATTAAAGGCTCATCAAGATTATGTGTATGCTCTTTGGAAAAGGTCATATACAATTAAATAAACTGCATGTACATAAACCATTATAAAGCTTTCATTTAATACAGACACCGCGCCAGTGGGGCACATTATATGCACCCCTATAGGCACTTAGGCAAAAGATCATATCTACATCAATATTTACATTCATAAAGACTAGTGCAGAAAACAATAGTTGGAAACAAATAAATACTGATAAAAACACGTGAGACTCATAAATTAGTTCACTTTTAGAATATTGAGCCATTTATAATTTAAGATACAATTGATTAAGATCATCCGTACATTAAAAAACATTGATTCCTTAAATGATGTGACAAACAGCGGGAGCTTTTACTTAATTCTTACTTACTTCATCAATTTTAAACTTACATCGTAATTTTTTTTCACACTTCATGCACTTTCACCAATGGAAGAACATAAAAAATAAATATTTCATTACGGATAAAATGTACATTAACGTTTAGAAAAATACTTATAATCACGTTTCCGTATCAAAAGCCTACAATGCTACTCGAAGCCTTCAATCCAATTATGGTACATCTTTGGCTGCAAACTTTCGGTACAAAAATTTCAATAAGGAAAACGCTCACAAGTATAAAGTATTCGTTTGAGCTACGTTCTAAGGCAAGGATAATGAAAGATCCAGGTGTCCGAAGGGAAATTCTCAACAGTCGTCTTTTCTCAACAGATTATTCCGCGGTCGTGCAGTATCTCCACCACGGAGGTCTTGCTGTGCCTGTGGTCGTCGTTTTGGCAACACTGTGCTCCGCAGGCGAAGGAGCGGCGGGAGGGGGAGTCTCTGGAGAAAGGTGAGTCAGTTTCTACCTCCTCCTCTATCACGGTGATCACTGAGGGGCAGATTAGTGTCTCCCCGCAGATCCACGGGTGATCAAGGCACTCCTGAGCTGTCAGCCTGTCACTGCAATCATCCATGTAGAATATATTTAGCACAGAGTTATGCTAATTGTAATAAAATTACAGGATTTTAACGTCTTTGAGAATTAAGCAAAATACTGGTTGAAGAGTAGGGCTATCTACTGAACAATCCGTGATATTAGTACCTATAGTGGAACCCAAATAACAAGACTAATTTACCAATAATCACATGTTGCTCTTGATAAGAAGTCTTGATTAATAATCCCCATGAGTGTTTTGCTGTACAAATGAGTATGGACGTTCTGCATTAACATGATCGAGTATCAGGTCCAAGCACTGATTGGCTTGTCAGTCACCAACCATTCACCAGTTAAAGAAAAAGACGTTCAATGTCTCTAGTCTAATTAATTATAATATGATTCTTATGGCTAAAAAAACTTAGCACAAAACCTTTTGTATGGGTTTAGTCAGATTTAGTTAATGTATATTAGTGTAATAGCATTTTCAAAGTATTTGCTGCTATTCATGTGTATTATTTATGTAGAGTGATGAGGAAGGTGCTAGAGTGAATACATGATCTAACTACAGGGTGTCTACTTTATTTCCATTTTAAAAAATTAAGGCTAATTCTAAACTTTTCAAGACTAGTTTTTTAACAATAATTAGTGATGTGTCGATACTAAGATTTATCAATTCTCGAAACCATTACCTGAAAATCTTCTCAACTTTTGATATCAATGAGATTTTTTTTATAGTTTTACCAAATTTTCTAAATGGATTAATGAACTACACCTACACATTGTCAGTTCCACGATCACATCAATATTTAGCAAACATCCCATTTAGGCAATAGTAGGTCTATTACTTTAGGTCTTATGGTAAGACATAGACCGGGACCAGGACCAATTAAATTTTTCGTTTTGAGGGCCCTAATAGGCCAAAAAACCCCTACGATCAAATTCATATATCAATCATGTATATGTATATGTATAGGTATTCATGTATATGTGTCCGTTAGCGAGATAACTTGAGAAAAATTATCTGATTTTGGTTAAATTTGGTACAAACGTGTGTACCTACGTTTATTTGAATTAGTTTGCGAACCACCATGATCGGACAATGGGAACACGGTTTACGGGGAGTTTTATGGAAAAAAATTGGGTTTTCCCATTTTTGACCCTAAAAACACTAAATTTAACAATTTCTTTCCGAACCATTTTGTAGAGCTTAAAAAAAGAAATAATTTTGTACATTGAAGCATTGTAGTATGTCTAACCATTACGGAGATAATTTGATCAAAATATATCCATAAACAAGAAAACTACAACAGTTTACTTATTCTTCATAAGAATAAGGAATGAGAATGGAAATTTATGGAAATTTTAAATACACAATTTTAAGATTTTTCTCTGTAACAAATAACCATTCAAAAACACTTCAATAAACTAAATTATTTGTGTTTTTTTTTAAGCTCTTCAAAATGGTCTAGAGGGAAATTAGTAAATTTTATGTTTTGAGGGTAAAAAATGAGAAAAACTAATTTTTACACCATAGTTTTACATGGAACATAAAATTCCCGACTGTAACAACAAAATAAAGACTTTTCAAGACCGTTTTGATACTCAATACTAATTCCAACTATCCTGTTACTCTCGACTACTAGACACCCTGTAGCTAACATGTTTCTCAGTGTCTTAGATAATTCTTGTAAACAATACAAGGAATCAATATATCCTTGTCAATCTTCTCTTACTCCCTGACATTTTTAGTTAAATACATACTAAAACAGCAAAAAATAAAGAGACATTACATACCCCCCATACTTAGAGACATACTTAGAACCCTCAGATTATCCAGTTTACCCACATTAATACTTGAATACTTTCTTATTAAATGGCAACCAAACAAAGTAGGTTATTTTAAGCCAAGTATGAATGGAGATGAGTGTAGGATGAGTGGCGCGATCTTGTAGTCTTGTTAGTGACTAAGGCCGATATTCCTTAGACACAGCTGTTAATTAGCCCATACAGCTAATGGCAACTACGGGACCTACAGTTTATAGTGGAATCCGAACCACATTTTTGAATGGGGAAATACAATTTGGTCTAATTATCTGGATAGTACTGCGGATAGTCGTAGTTCTCACTCGTGCAGACGTTAATCCACACCAGGGAGTATCGCATCCACAGTGCATGTCTATAAATATCCACAATTTGTGACCTCCTAGTAGCTGGATTACATTACAACTGGACAGTGTAAGCGTAATTTAATTAGGTGCTCTACTTTATACTCGCAAACTAAACTGTACATGTTTGATTCGTAATCCTCTTACTTAGAACAATAATTTGAGGGAAAGACCAATATAACTGTAAGGAATTAAGTTCAGCAAGTTTACCTAATAAATTTACAGACCATTGATGTACTGCTCACAAAAAATAAGCTCGCTGAGATCTATCTCTTTCAAAAACCTCATGGAAAAATTTAAGTCCATTCAATTAGATGAGTTAGGGTTATGTATATTTGAATTTATCAAATTTAATTATTAAATATTATCAAACTGAATTCACTGTAATGTTCTAGGAAATTGTGATTAGATGAGAAACCTTAAAAAGTGGATAGTCAGATACGAGGGGTCGTCTAAACTTGCTGGTTTGTTTCAATTCTGTATCCAGATACAATTTGTTATTGAGTTAATGATGCTAGCTCGTTGACGCTAAATACGAACAAGATTTGTAATTATGAGTTTGATTTGAGTTTTTTTTATATTTTTTTTTTATTCAGATGATTCTTTCTTGTATAAACCTCAAGTGGTTCAGACAGGAGTACTACCTTAGGTTGTCAGGACGGGAGTGAGCCAACTAAATTTTTTAGGCCACTATACACAAGTCGACAAGTGTACAACTACATACCTGGGTTTTGTGCGAAGTGTCACCTCTATGAAGTGTTTCGCCCGAGGACTGATGTGGCCGAACAATTCGTCGGGGAAGGTGACGTCTCCTTGTGTGATGTTACAGAAGGTCTCTTGTTTGGTTTCTCCAGCGAAGGGTGAGTATCCTGTCAACAACACATACGCCAACACTCCCACCGACCAAACGTCCGACTGTAGTGAGATCGGGTCGAACTTGAGTATCTCTGGCGCTGAAACATGTCAAATTGTCAATAGCATCTTTACTTCCATCTACATGGACCAGCTGTAGCAAATTTGTTATAAAAAAAGGCCATAGTTGAATTGAAACTCACCTAGTGGGCTAATATGTAAATTATGTTTATACTTGGTGTGACGTATAGTCAGGTCAGGTTGACCTGACATAAAAAATCCATACCGTAGTTTACAATCATTTGTCCTTTCAGTTCGGCTTGATTAAGAAATTAGAAGTTAACATATTTAACTGAATTCAGTAATTAATTGACAACAGTGCACAGATTCAATCCAACTACATTCATTTTTATCAAAAGCTGGCTGAAACTTAGGAGGGAATGACTTCTATTTTGTAGACTCAAAAGTTATCTTCAATCATTAGAAAGTTTGAGAAATGTATTAACATGAGTTATTATCACTATTACTATACGATGATTATGCAATAAATAGTAGCAAGCCATTAAAATGGCAAAGCCAGTCATCGCCAAGCATCAATATTTATTTATTTATTTTTTTTTTTGTGTTCTATGACGCTAGGCACAAGCTCAGAATTGTTTTTCACATTACTTCAGGCTAGACCTAGAGATTACGGCATTATCACTTAGATAAAATCCATTGGTGATATGGACGGGATTCGAACCCAGGACTATCTGAAAAGTTTGCTTAGTCATACATATAAGCAACTACTGAAAATTTATCACAAGTTAACAAAATTAATTTTAAATTTAAATTGATACAAAATTTACAGAGGGTGATTTTAATCTTTTAAAAACCATTTCATATTTTGATATTGTTTTTCTCCATTTTTAACAAAGCGGGAAGAAAAAAATACATTACATGTCGACCTTTCTTTCTGGTGGTCAGTCCAAGATGGATTTCAAACCCATTTGAACTTTTCTAAAGTTAAGAGAAGAGGAGGCAAGAAATTACATAGGTTGAGGAAACATGAAATTTTTTTTAGGAAAATCAACTTTAACCATAAGAGAAAACAGGAATGTTTTGATTGCAAGCTAATGAACCAACACTGGGATTTATGACACTGAAGATACTACATTCTAATGGAAGATAATGCAGCAAGTGTACAAATGACATGTAAAAAAATTGCATTTCTGGTTCTATGAGGACATTATTTACAGAAAGTTTAACAAAAAATAAATATCAAAATAAGAACAGTAACATCCTGGGTTCGCTCAGACCTGAGACACTACGATTAAATTTATGCCTTTTTTTAATTAGGCCTACTGCATTAACTTCAGATTGGCATGCAAACTTTATTGGTAGTTCAGCAGATAAAAATTGTCCATTCAAAGTCTCGTTTACCATCTCCTTGTCACTATAACCAGCAGGATCAGTGGGTTGAAAAGTAGCCTCAAAAAAATCTGCCAGCATTTCACACTTCTGGGAATCACTCTCACAGATTATTTTATCTTTCTTTAATGTAGGAATGACCGATGAAGTATTTAAAAGGCGTATTGTTGCTTCTAACATATTTGAGTCTCTAGGATGAATATCAGAAACATATTTCTTATATTTGATATGACATATAAATTTTACCATAATGATGACAATGAAACAACCACGTCTTGTTTGCCACGTTTCATCAAACACTTTTTTTTTAATTTTAAGTTTATAGTGCTGTAAATTCCATGACTTACCAACATAATCTGGTGTGCCAAGGATTTCTTTAACGTCAACTCCATTTTGAACTATTCTAGAAATTCCAAAATCACAGAGCTTTATATCTGAGTCTGGGTGTTCAGTTGACAGGAGAATGTTTTGTGGCTGTAAAATAAATAAAGCAGAGTTAAAATTTACTAGAAATACATTAATTACATAACAAGCTTCATACAAATTCTGAATGAAAAGTTTGCTGTTGAAAAAGTTCAACAGCTAGATATAAATTACTGTTATTTTTAGCCTACATGGAAATTAAATGTAAATAAAATGTTTGGTGATTCCTTTTGACGTTAAATTTAACTAGATAACCTGTTGCTCAAAATCGAGCAAAACTGCAACTTGTAATAAAATAATGACATAGAGTCACTCTAAAGTAATTTCTATGACTGATTATAGAAATGTGAAAAATATTATGATGTAAAAAATTATAAAAGTAATCTACGGTAGGTACAATATTTAGATAAATATAGATCCGTTCTCAAACTGCTTTGGTTATCTCTTATGTACTTAGGCGGGCGCCCTCTATGAGAACGTAGATGTCAACCACACACTGTAAAGTTAGCTTTTCATACCTCTATCATGATGCTAACCAGTACAACACATACTAACTATAGCATAGTTAAATTATTTTTATGATATGTTCTGTTTTAGGCGTGTTTAAATTAGGTGCCCCAACCAAAGTCTCCGGTTGGGAACATAAGAATGGATTTAACGACGTATCTAGAACGGATTCATGTTTAACACTATTAGTTTTTGAAAATAAAAAAACCGCAGATTTATTTGGCCAGAGGGTGCTCTGTTTTCAGTTTTAAAATAGCTGAGACATCTATACAGGTAGCATCATTGCAGCGAGGGAAGTCACTTCTTTTGTCTTGTACTATGCACATTAGAATCTTAACTTGAATCCTCGGTAAATTAAGTAAATTAACTTAAATTTTTGCAACAGTTTTAAACGATTGGGCAAATGGGTTGGCATTGTGACCCTATTTCCCGCATATATGTTTTCATTGAATTTTATATTTAAATTGTTTTACAACGTCTTATTTATAGATCTGTGCGTATTCAGGATCATGGCCTTCTTGAGGAGTTAGATTACCTACTCGGGGGTAAAACGTGTCATGGATCTTGAAATTTTAGATACCCTGTGTGACCCTCTCGTCAAAATGAGCTTCAGAGCTGACCATGACAAAGGCGGAATTAAATTGACAAATTTTATCCAGATTATTTCTGGATTGAAGCCTCACAGCCCTGTTTTCAGATTGGGAGTTTCCAATAAGTTACCGAAAGTATGGTGAATTCCGCAAATGATGTAAACGGACCTTTCATTTATGGCAACAAAGAGTAAAAATTGAACTGTATCGGCCAGTCTTTTCTTGCTTAAAATGTAAGCCACCACAATGTAAAAATGTAACGTTCATTTGTCCGAGACTGTATGTAGCACCACGGTGGTACTGCCACTCAGTAGTCTGTATCCGTCAAATTGGGAGGTTCTATGCAAGCGGTCACGTTTGCATTCCCATTCCCTCCAGCCACTCACAGTTCTTCGTCTTACTGGTGGCATTTAATTTTAAATTTAGATCAAATACAAAAGTTAACCAATCAACAACAACAAGGAATTTTTATAGACATTGTAAATTACATGATGCTATGGTAATGTGTAACTGCATTTTGAATAATCACTTTCAAACATTCACTTAATCACACCGAACTTTATCCAAAACTACACATGATAATTCAGTAAAATACGATGTAAGTTAAATAAATTCAACTATTACAAACAATTTGTTGTCAGGTCTTGCTAGGAAACTCTTTATTTATGAACCAGACTTATTAGTTAACAGATGTTTAAATAAAAATAAAAATTCCGGCTTTGCTCTGGATGTAATAAGTCCTGCAGCCTGTGGTTAAACTTAAAAACTATTTCAAACTACGTCTAAACTACGTCTAACTATTTCTAAACTACGTGTTTAGTTGTAAACAAAGGTAATTGGGTTTGATGGTTTGATCCAAAGTCAACAGATAGCGCCACCATTCCCAAACTTTAGCCCTTAACTGTACTTAAGTGATGCCATTTCTTAATATTCTGAGACGTATTTGCACATCTACGTGAAAATACCTTTAATTTGACACCTCAAACGTTAAAATCCGTCAAGCCGTTATCGAGTTATGACTGTGAAAAGAAAACCGCTTGCGTATACAGATTCTATAGGAAATTAATATAGTCCTGGAACGTGAACTTGATAGAGCTAAATAAAAATAACAAAGGTTTAGTTCAAAGAACACTTACCTACAGTCAAAGTATTACTGCTAAAACTACACAATTGAGACAAACTATAATCACAAAAAAAAACTTTCAGTAAATCTTACAGAATAAAATCAAGCAAAAGACAGTATAGTCTTGACTAAATGTTCTATGTTTATTGACTTTAATAAGTTATTTGACCTTCCCTACGGTTGTGAGATCCAATGCTAACTACAGGTGGAATGACCGAACTACGAAGGTCTCGTAATTTGAGAGCGTCTCCTTTGCCACCCCTGTCTATTCTTGGTAGGCAACACAGCTTGACTGAACTTTCTGATAGCTTATGGGGCGTAACACACAGTTTGTCTCCTCGTCATACCTCACTGCCACACTTCTATTGCAAATCGTAATGAGCATATGATACTCATAAGTGGCTTGGTGGACGAGTACAACATTTTATTTTACAGTAACAGTGAGGGATTTTTTTAACTTGGTTGGTTGGTTATTATGTTGTTTGTAATGATGGCTACTACAAAACAAATAGTGGATTCGTTCAAGGATAAACTAACTTAAAGAAACTTTTTTTTTGTTCTGACCTTTCCGAATAAATGACTATGCTGCAGTCCGTTTGAGTAGTATAATTTAGACTCTACTGTGACATCATTAATCTATTTGGGCATTTACCTTGAGATCAAGATGTGCAATGTTGCGGGAGTGCAGGAACACCAAGGCCTCCAGGATGTGTTTCATGACTCTGACAGCGTGAACCTCCTCTAGTCCATCCTCGGCCTCAACTACCCTCTGTAACTCTCCACCCTTGGCCCTGCACACACACACACACAGTATCAGTACACTTCAATAGACTACTGAGATAGATACCGCCGTGTATAAATCATATACACAAACACATACATACGTAAAAATATGTATATTATGTATGTGTGGGGAAGGAGCCCCGCAACGTCCGTTGGGATATATATTTTTGTAAAACGAAGGTCAGAAGACTAAGAAGAATGAGTTGGAGGCTAAGAAGTACTAAGTGTAAATTTCTTTTTGTTGGGGACTTGATTAGATAAACATGTTTGAAATGTGTGATTTGTTACCATACAGGTTATTTCCAACTGGATGAGTACCTATGTAATAGTAGATTAAGTTAGGTGTGTAACTTTCAGTAATTTACCTATCATCGATTAGAGGACATCTTAGATACACCTGGCTAATCTAATAAACCTGAATGAAGGAAGGTGTTTAGGTACTTCTATCTACAAAAAGGATAAAATTTCCTGTCTTAAAACATCTGTTTGGCTAAAGTTATCGTGACAGAAAATGTGGGCAACAATCAATGACTCAATCATGCTACACATGATACGTACAGCTCAAGCACAATAGCCATCTCATTGGCAGTCTCGTAGACCTCGTACAATCTGACTATCCTATCACTGGACGCAGCTGCTAGCAGGACTGCCACCTCGTGTAGTATGTCTGCACGCTGGTCTTGTAGCCGCCGTCGCTTGCGGATACACTTGGCTGCGTAGGCTACACCACTCGTCTTGTGTGTACATCTCCGCACTGCCGCGAACTTGCCTCTGCAACAGATAAATATTGTTTTAAACATTTAATAAATTAAAACTTAGAGGAAGATACTTAATATTTTGTTTATTTATTGAATTTCTGTCAAAGCAGTTTTGACACCTAGGCATTGGTCTAACCATATAATTGTTTTAGTGTGGTGATCATCTATCTTTTGTAGTTTTCTAGTAATTAACCAAAAACTCTCTAGTCGCCCATGTAAAACCCATGTTAAACGTTCAGTACTGGAGATTAGTGGATGCAGATTGCAGATACACTATTCAATACAGTTGTTCAATAAAACGAGTTTTAAAAAGAGTACTTAGTTTTTAATCATGTATTTTTATATCAAAATAGTAGCCCTAATCACTACGATTTTCATGATATACATATTAATCTATATAAATAAAATTAGAGTTTTGTCTGTACATTGCTCAGAATCATAAACTTTTAGGTTATTTTTACGTTTTATAGATAAAAGAAACTGAAACAAGTCTCATCTAAATTTCTGTCTGTCTGTCTGTCTTCCTGTCTGTCAAGTTTCAAATCATTTTTATGTATTCACTGGATTGGCAAGATTGTCGTCACTACTTTGTAAATAAAATGACGGACGTTTAAAAACCCAATTTTGTGAGATTTTTTGTAAAGTTTTCTCCCAATGTTCATCACATATTGATCTATGAAATAACAAACAGCTGTTCGAATCAAGATTATTTCTTCTAGCTGTCACTGATATGTTTACATTGAATGTTGTTTACAAATACCGCAAACATTTCCGATTCAGTTTTGAGAGCAAATTCAAGATTAAAAACGTTTTTCCTTACATAAAGGATTTAATTAATCGCAAGTGCAATAATGTGTACGGTAACCGTAAATGAAAATAGATTCTTTGTGTATAAAATTGTTCTTGATTTTTAGTAACCAGGAAAAAGACCTTGAATCAGTGTTGAATATGACTTAGAATGGTAGCACGCACAGGAAATCTCTGAATTTAATTGAACCTCAAATCGATCCTATGAGCCCAGTACCGCTACAATGGGGAAGCTCAAGACCTTATATTAGGACTGATGATGGCGATTTAATTTCGCCGAAATGCATCTCATGTAATAGGTCACATTAGGATCGACCGGCGGACACAGGTAATTAAACCTTTTATTGATTGTCATACCGATCCGGAACGAAGAATGTAAAATGAAGTTATGTATAATAGTAGGCCAGCATATCTGAAAATATGCAAACCAACTGCTGTTCTTTATATAAGAAGGTTTCAACTGAATACTATAAGATCCCTGTGCGTAGAACGGGTACACAGCTAGTATATAATAAACATATATATAACAATTTGAACGAATGGTGTTTTTGGTCTCTGAGGACATCAAAATGAAAAAGTAAATCGGTCCCAGGCCTAAGTCTTACCGTGCCACCTACGGTAATTTCCCTATAGGGAAATTCGCTAAAACCCTGATGGCATTGGGTTGTAACCCCTGATTGGCTAAAACACCTAAAGAATTTAAAAACCCTCCCAAGAACAGTTGGCCTTCTGTCCCTACAATAAACCAGAGAGACAACAAAACAGCTTCCTCTACAAGATTGTATCCAGTCCAATTTATAGCTATACAGGTGCAATTATACAAGTAATTTCCATCAAACAAGCTCATAAAGCAGGCTACAGACCGACTAATTAAAGAAACATGACAATTTCTATTGAAGGATCACCAGTATATCATATAGGTTTCAGGACAGTTGCATGCCACAGTCAGGACCAAGGACACTGCTGTTCCTGTTCCAATAACTCGCCTCGACCGAGACAACTCGGACATTCAGACCTGTCATCATATTTACTGCATTCGTACTGTGACAGACACTCCAGTGAAGGTCAATGTTCATGATCTGCTCTGTGCTACATACTGAAATGTCTGTTACTTCCGTCAGGTCAAATCAAATACGTTTTCTTATTACTAGTCTTGTGTCATATAAAAACGCTACAGCTCCCAATGACAATTATTATGAGTAGCCTACAAATTAAAATGTAATGGATTAAATCTACTTATGAAAAATTGATGGCTGAACGGACCCCTTTTTCTTCCAGAATATTGATTTCAATGTATAAGGGTTCATAAAGTACCTCGACTTATATAATGTAAAATTTGCAATAATGTCAAAAAATACTTTTAACATCAGCTAATTCTACTTGCATATATTTATTTTTGCATTTTAGTCTCAGGTGCAAATTTCAACACACCCACTGGCTTGAGAAAAATACCATCCAGTTGTTTTTAGATTGGGGCTTTTCGTATTATTTTTATTCAAAGAAAAAATACCCCCGCCGCAGCAAACCTGCCGACTAAGCGAATTTCCATTTGTCTGAATTGATTTTCAGTTAAATATATTTTAATAACATTAGGTTTAACGAGTACCTAGGTTTGCTGCTACAAGGAAACTAATAAAGTGTGTTTTTGAGTAAAATATTGATAGCTTAGTACAAAATAAATAAATTTGCCAAGTTTGATCAAAATATATCGTCCATAAACAAGCAAACTACAACATTTGACAATATTCTTTATAAGAATAACATGGGAATTTTAAATTTACAATTTTTTAAATTTTCTCCGTTACTAATAATTGAACAAAAATACTTTTATATACTAAATTATTTTTTTTTTTAAGCTCTTTGAAAAGGTCTAAAGAGAAATCGGGAAATTTTGTGTTTTGAGGGTCAAAAGTGAGAAAAACCAATTTTTACCCCATAAAACCCCCGTAAAGCCCCGTTCCCATAGTCCGATCGTGCTGGTTCGCGAACTCATTCAAGTTTATCCCGCTTTACACCTTTAAACCAAATTTCATCAAAATCGGACAAAAATTACTCAAGTTATCGCGTTCACGGACGTATATATATATATATATACATATATAAAAATTTGAACGAATGGTGTTTTTGGCCTCTGGGGACATCAAAATGAAAAAGTAATTCGGTCCCGGGTCTAGGTCTTACCGTGCCACCTACGGTAATAGCTACTTCCCTATAGGGAAATTCGCTAAAAAAGAGAGTTATTGAAAAAACTCAAAATACAATTACCTTTATCACAAGAGATTTATAAAACTGACACTCTTTAAAATAAAAATAAGTATTTTATTTACTATCATTTTATTAGCAGCCTATATTAGTTCCCATACAACTGTATTTTGTATGTAAAAGGTTTTTTCATTGTGTTCCAAATCAAACTGATTAAGTTGTAAGAAGACTATGATATCGATCGAAACTGTTAAAATTAAATTTTACTACAAATATTTAGTGCTGCTGGGCCTCCCACACTACCAGGGGAACCTGTTTGACACTCAAACCTGAAGATGTGCTCAACTTTTTGCTACATGAAACAGAAATACATGTAGGTGCAGTTTGTTGAGGTGTTGTATTTGATATTAAAATAAGAAAATGCAGGTGGCAACGAGGAAACACAAAGTAGCACACAAGTCTACCCGACCGTGAACATTGGACACTCCCAGCGATTATCCGGATTTGTTTTGAAATAACTATACAACAATGTTACAATGTACAAGAAAAATTCTGTATTCCATGAGCACATAAGCTGGAAAAACTTATAAATACGTTTTCTGTTTAACTTGTTTCTTTTAGCGAATTTCGCTATAGGGAAGTAGCTATTACCGTAGGTGGCACGGTAAGACCTAGACCCGGGACCGATTTACTTTTTCATTTTGATGTCCCCAGAGGCCAAAAACACTATTCGTTCAAATTTTTATATATGTATATATATATATATATATATATATATATATATATATAGACATATATATATATATATACGTCCGTGAACGCGATAACTTGAGTAATTTTTGTCCGATTTTGATGAAATTTGGTTTAAAGGTGTAAAGCGGGATACACTTGAATGAGTTCGCGAACCAGCACGATTTCGGGGGGTTTTATGGGGTAAAAATTGGGTTTTCTCACTTTTGACCCTCAAAACACAAAATTTCCCAATTTCTCTTTAGACCTTTTTAAAGAGCTTAAAAAAACAAATAATTTAGTATATAAAAGTATTTTTGTTCGATTATTAGTAATGAAGAAAATTAAAAAATTGTAAATTTAAAATTCCCATGTTATTCTTATGGAGAATATTGTCAAATGTTGTAGTTTGCTTGTTTATGAATATATTTTGATCAAACTTGGCAAATTTATTTATTTTGTACTAAGCTATCAATATTTTACTCAAAAACACACTTTATTAGTTTCCTTGTAGCAGCAAACCTAGGTACTCGTTAAAGCTAATGTTATTAAAATATATATAACTGAAAATCAATTCAGACAAATGGAAATTCGCTTAGTCGGCAGGTTTGCTGCGGCGGGGGTATTTTTGTATAGGCTAGTAAGTTTTTTGTAGCAAATACTCACTATACACAACTCATTTAAATAAAGTTTTAGTTGTGGCAAACACCATTGTAAAATGATATTCTTGTCAACTAATCAAAGTTATACTACTGATTTGAAATAGTATTGCGAGTAGACTTCTTATTCAATTGTAAAATCAGAAGCATGTATTTATTTGTCTTTCAAGCCTATTAAATGTTAAGTGTGGTGATTTAGACTAATGTGTATAAATATCTTTTATTTTATGATAATTTTACAAACTAATATATTTTATTATACTCTAATTTTTTTTACAAAAAGTCACATAAACATAAGTTTAACATAACATAAACATAAGTCTTAACATAACATAAACCAACAGAAACCTTATCGGCTATATGAACTAAGTTCTTTTTAAGTACACAACCACCAACTGGTGAATTAACTGTATTCTATAAAGTAGTAACCATAATCAAAGTTACATCCACCAGTAGGCAGTAAAATAAACGTCATCAAACAACAAAATAATGCATACTGAATAATTGAGTTGAATAACCATTTGTGGGGTCAGTCAAAACTGGCTCTGTTTATAATAAGACTGTCCGCAATGTTGGAGTGTATCCATATTGCAGTCTGACAAATGCAGGCTCCAGT